ATCTATCTATCTATCTATCTATCTATCTATCTATCTATCTATCTATCAGCTTAGTTAACAACATACATATAACATCTTATGCCCAAATAAATAACCCATCTCTTAACCTGATAGTCTAGTTCATAAAATGCTGACCAATGGCTGAATTAATATGACATCCTGAACCACAAGTTACTCATCGGCATTTTAATCTACTGTAATATTCCCAGCTAAATGAAAGAAGCCCGCCACCTCCATAGGACTTTCTCCAAAATTTTCTTCTTTTTGTTTTTAAAATAATTTCTGCAACTAACTTGATTTGATCAAACTAAATGAAAACTAGTAGAAAAACATTGAACAGATTAATTTATATACTTGACAGCAATACATCTTAAAACAGATTTCAAAACTATTATAATGCTGGAGGTTCATATCACAGTTGTTGAGCTTTATATTCATTACTATTACCTAACTACTACTATGTAACATTTATCCAGAGCTATTTTCATAGTTTGTTATCATTGCTAACTGGATGAATGGCATACCTCGGAAGCTTCCCTTGGAATTTGTGTCAGTGCTATTGAGTCAAAATTCAATAGTGAAAGCACCTTGATTGCAACTGTCTTTCCTATACTGAGAATTAAATTGACTATATTATGCTAAATCTATTTGTATGATTTCTGTGAACTTGGTAAAAATGAAATGCAGAAACGTGTTTACTCTTTTATACAGCAAGTTGTAGAATTATTCCTTTTTTAATGAATACCTTCTCCTTTTCTGTATTGACCAATTTCCTATCATCTCTGTTCTTCAGCTTCCCTGGTGCCTCTGCAGTTGGCAATGAAGAGTGGAAGATAAACAGTTTTCCAGGGCACTCCGCTGCCTGTAACAAAAATAGAAAAAAAAAGCAAGAAACAAAAATGACCTTTATTCTCCTGCAGATATAAACTTCTGAGATAGAGACTTATACAGTTCTGTTATTCCAGTATAAACTCTCAGTGACTTTATAAACTAAATAGTCCATTTGTTTATAGTTTGAACTTTATTTGATACACTAAAATTTCACCTCTACCACCACAAGAATAGAAAAGATCTAGTATTCACAAATACTTAACATAGTAGTATCTGGGTCATGTATGCAGTTAAAACTTTCTCTCTCTGTGCATCTGTGTGTAGTCTGTGCATTAATAGGCACACTGGGAAAACCAAGACTGTTCAGATGCAAAGTTTAATACAGTTAAACTTGAGTGCCTTAGAATGCCCTGATAATGTTACCTAGTTTGGATAATGAAAAGTCTGCAAGAAAACAATCAAGCTCAGAGAGGACCCAAACACCTCTCATTTCAACCTGTGCTACAAATATTTTCCTTTATTGATTCAGTAGAGAACACAGGGTTTACTTGACCCTGGAAAAACAGTATAGGTTTATCTAAAAACTGTTAGAGTGGATGTACAAGTTTAAACATCTTTATAACGAAATTAGCTGAAGTATATTGCTATAATAACAAAGTTTATTCAACTGCACCAAAGCTACACTTTAAGCTGCCTGTACAGGCCAGGTCAGGGAAGAGAATTCACAAGAGTTAGTGGGGCTCTATTGTTGTAAGTGTAATAAATAGAATCTTGAAAGCTTTCCCAATTTTTCCTTTGTCCTCTTATATACTACTCAGTTTCTGTGCTTCCTACTCTCCCAGGGCTAAGATTTCTTGTACAGTCCCTTTTATCAGTTAACAGCTCTTGAGTTCTTTCACCAATGTTAACTCTGACTCTCTCTACAGATTGCCACACTTGGAATAAATAAAGAAGCAAAATAAATTCACAACATTTTTGTGAAGTAAATAAATTTTACTTCAGAGATACTTTCCCAAAGTACTTGGAATACATAAAGGTAAAGGTTTCCCTCACACATACGTGCTAGATCCCTCACACAGAGGTGCTAGCCAGCTCTAAGGGGCAGTGCTCATCCCTGTTACAAAGCCAAAGAGCCAGCACTATCCAAAGACTTCTGTGGTCATGTGGCCAGCATGACTAAACACTGAAGGTGCATGGAACACTGTTACCTTCCCACCAAAGTGGTCCCTATTTTTCTACTTGCATTTTACATGCTTTCGACTGCTAGTTTGGCAGAAGCTGGGACAAGTCACTCCATTTACATAGTGCTAGGGATTTGAACCGCCAAACTGCTGACCTTTTTGATTTACAAGATCAACGTCTTAGCCACTGAGTTTCCACTTCCCTTGGAATACATAGACATATGCTATCCATCACTGATTATTGGAGCTTACTTGGTTCTTTCATGTCATTCAGAAATCAATGAAGAAGCCTAAAGAAATATGTATTTATTTAAAAATAAATGTCCACTGAGGCTGAAATACTGATTATTTAAATATGGAAAATCCAAAAAATGTATGATGTATTATTACTTAAATCATCATTACATTCTACTGAATGTGAATACAATCTTTCAAAGTACATTGTTGAATGGCTGTCCTTCATAAGTAAATTGCATCCTGAATAATTATTGGGAATCAAGTGAAGTTACCAGTAGCATTAAAAATACTAAGTTTTCATAATGGTTTCACCATATTTAAGATGAATTACCTCCTAAATCATTTACATTGAAATAGTGAACCAAGCATGTTCCCTAACATAAAGCATGAAAAAAGAGGTAATAAAAATGTTTCACATCAGAAAAACCAAAGAAATGAGCTATCATTAAAAATATATGATCACTTGGGAAAGAAAGCAGTTAAATTTGCATCAATCCTTTTCATATTTCTTAAGATTTAATTTTGCATTTGTCACAGAAGTATGATAGTTGTGCGTGTGTGTGTGTATACACACAGACCATTAATTTATCCACCCACACAAGAGTTTCAGTAATTTCTTATGAGAGGAAGCCTATCTGATACTTAGTACCTTTATAAACAGTTTGAATTGTAATTTTTCATTCCACCACCACATCTTTTCAAACAGACATTATTATTATTCAAACATCAATTTCCTTTTCCTGGGAAGATGGTGAAACACAAAAATGCTGTGATCATTTGATTTATGTAGCAAAGCATGTGATACTGAATTTGTTCACAGTTGGCATTGTGAGCAAAAAATAAAGGAAAATAAATTGAGAGACTAGAAGTCTGCTGAGCCACTGATATCACTTTCATGGTAAATATATACACATACACACCATTCCAGATGGATCCCCTTTGAAGTTATGATGTATTCAGTGTATGGAATTTGGTTTTAATTTCCTTGTGAATAAGCATGTTTTGAAAATGAGTAAAGAGAGCTAAGCAGGAGACCTCCTGCATATAAATGGCATTAAAAAGAAAAGCGATGAGATAATGTGGTATATAACCGAAGGGAATAATGCTAGATGGAATATTTTATAGATTCTGTGTGGGAATTATAAGAACATAAGTAGTGCCCTGTTGGACTGGACCTCAATCCCATTAAGTCCAGCAGTCTTTTATAGTGGCCAATCAACTGCCAATCAACTGCAACAAAGAAGCCCAGTAGTCTCTGAACAGATGGCCTTAAGAGGCGGTCAAAGTGTCATCAAGTCTAATACCAATGACCCCCATGAGTTCTATGAATTGCTCCATCCTTTTTGAAGCCAGGCAAGTTTGTAGATAGCATCATGTCTCACAGTAGTAAATTCCAAAAAGTTTAATTACACATTGGGTAAAAAAGGATGTTTCTTTTTGTTTCTCCTGATTCTTTTAGGATTTCATTGGCTGATCTGATTCTAGTATTTTGAGAAGGAGAAAATAAATTATCCTTGTAATTTTATCCACATCATGCATAATTTTTGTATACTCAATCACATTCCCTATTATCTGCTTCTTTCCTTGAGTAAAACGTTCCAAATTTTTCAAGCTTTTCTCTGAGGGAAATTACTCCAGCCCTTTTCATCATCTTAGTTGCTGTCCCTCTGAATCTTCCTCATGTCCATTATATCCTTTTTGAGGGGTGTCAACTAGAAGTACGCACAATATGTAAAAAGTATCTTGCTATATATTATGCACTGGAATGCTGAAAATGGTAATGTATATGTGCAAGTAAAAGAGTTATGGTTTTCTATAGTAGTTTGTGGCAACGCCTAGCCAGCTTTGACTAATCTTGAAAAGCTAATCAGGGTCAGACCTGGTTGGTAGCTCAATGGAAAACCACCAGAAAATATCATGATTGTTGTCGTGTCCGTCGCGGGAAGGAAGCTCAGAGTCAGTGACTTGGTTTCAGCTCTTTATTGGCTCTGGGTACAGCTTAACTTGGAGAGGAAAAACGGCGGCTTTTATTTCCGAGCCGCGTCGGCCGCGGCCAATGGCACCGCTTCGAATCTCCCGCGACTAGTTTCCACCAATCGCGGGGGATTCGCAGCGGGCCAATCAGTGCGGCTCGCTCGACCAATCCGGTCGCCGCGCGCTTTAGCCAATCGCGACGCGGGGCTACGAGTATGTAAATTGACTGTACAGAACACCCCTCCCCTCTTGGTTCGGTCCTACGTAACGTAGTCCCGTAGGTAGGCGGGGCTTCGCACTTGCCTACTTGACCTGCGCAGATTAGTTGTTGTTTGGCTCTCGGCCGGTTCGGTCGGGACTTCTGTTTCTCTTGGCCCTGTCGATGGAACCCCCTGGAAGGTGTCGCTGGGCCTCTTGTTGCAGCTCCCTCCCGGTCTACCTGGGTTGGTCGAGCTGCGACTTTCGTTGCTCCTGCCTGGTCTTTCCGGGCTGGTTGAGCTGGCCTGGCTGTTCCTTCCTGGTGAGACTTCGGGCTGGCTGTTGACTGGTGAGTATTGCTGGTTATTTCCTATTTGATCCCCTGTATCTTCCCTCCCCTCTTGGTTTGTGTTAACGGGGTCGTCTGTGTTTGGTTGCGTGTCGGTTGTGTTTTTTGTTCTTGATCTTAATTGATCGATGTGGCGTTTCCATGTTTGTCCGTCAGTTGTCTGTAGCCGGTAGGAGTGGGGCCCTGTCAGTTGGGTTATAGTTGCCGGTACCCATAGTGGGTCTCCGGAAAGGTTTTTTGCATAGACTGCGTCGCCTGGTGCAAAGACCCGGTGCTTGCTTGATGAGTCCGGGGGTTTTTCTGGGTTGTATGTGGGGTGTAGTCTGTCGAGTGGTGACCTTAGTTTTCTCCCCATTAGTAATTCTGCCGGGCTTTTGTTTGTCGTTGTGTTTGGGGTGATATGTTGTATTAGGAGCATTTTATTTATTTTTTCTTGTATGTCCCCGTGTTCGATCTTTTGGAGGGTTCTTTTTGTAAATTGAACCATCCGTTCTGCCCTACCATTTGCCGCCGGATGCGCCGTCGCTGTCAGTGCGTGTCGTATGCCCCGTTCCGCTAGGAATTTTTCGAATTCCAGCGAGGTGAACTGGGGTCCGTTGTCTGACACGATGACATCCAGGAGACCGTGGGTTGCGAAAAGTTTGTTTAAGACCTTGGTTACCGCATCTGTTGTGGTGGTCTTCATGTTGCTTACCTCCAGCCAGTTGGAGTAAGCATCCACCGTGATGAGGAATGTGTTCCCTTTTGTGGGCCCGGCAAAATCTATATGGAGTCTCGACCATGGCCCTCTGGGCGTTTCCCATTCCAATATTGGTGCTGCGGGGGGATTTGGTCTGGTTTCTTGGCAGCGCGAGCACTTGGCTACCCAGGCCTCGATCTCCTTGTCCATACCTGGCCACCAAGCATAGCTTCTGGCCAAAGCTTTAGTCCTCACAATCCCCGGGTGCCCTTCGTGTAATAGTTTTAATACTTTCCCTTGCAGTTTTTCCGGTATGACCACCCTGTCCCCCCATAGCAAACACCCTTTCTGTAGTGACAGTTCTGTTTGCCGGTTTCGGAATGTCCTGAATGCTTCATCATTGTCTTTCTCTGGCCATCCCTTTTCTACCCAATGTAATACCCGCGCCAGACGCTTGTCTTTATTAGTCTCTCGGGCAATGTCTGACGCGGTTATGGGTAGGTCGGGCAATGTCTCTATGCTGAGGGTGGTCGTCGTGGGAGCTGGATCGTCGTCGAGGTCGGGAAGCGGCGAGCGGCTCAACGCGTCTGCATGGGAGATCGTCTTACCGGGTCTGTGTGTGAGCCGGTAGTCGTAGGCGGCGAGGAACTCAGACCACCTTGTCATCCTGGGGGATAGGATGTTCGGGGTGGCCTTGTTCCCCGCCAGGATGCCCAGCAGTGGTTTGTGGTCCGTGATGAGGGTGAATCGGCGGCCGTAGAGGTACTCGTGGAACTTCTTTACCGCTGCGACGATGGCCAGTGCCTCCTTATCTAATTGGCTGTAGTTTCTTTAGGGTTTGCTGAGTGTTCTTGAAAAGAAAGCGATGGGTGCTTCTTTCCCGTCTGGAAGTGTATGGCTGAGGACGGCGCCGACGCCAAATGGTGAGGCATCGCAGGTGACGGCGATGGGTAGGGTCTCATTATACTGAATGAGAACGGCATCCGAGGTGAGCAGGTCTTTGGTATTCTTGAATGCGGTGTCCTCTCGTTTCCCCCAGGTCCATTTGGCCGTCCTGTCCAGGAGCCTATGCAAAGGCTCCGCCGCGGTCGCCTTTTGGGGCAAGAACACATTGTAAAAATTTAGCAGTCCCAGGAATGCCTGCAGCTCTGTTTTGTTCTTGGGTGTGGGGGCTTCCTTTATGGCTTTGACTTTGCTTCCGGTTGGGTGGATGCCATGTCGGTCTAGGAGGTACCCCAGGAACTCGACTTGCTCTGTGCATAGCTGGCATTTCTCTTTCTTCACCTTCAGCCCGGCCCCTTTGAATTTTTCTAGCACCTCCCTTAGGCGACCCTCTAATTCCTCCTGGTTGGCTGCCGACACTAACACATCGTCAAAATAAGGGACCACCCCCTTGATTCCTCGCAGCAGCCTCTCCATGAGGCTCTGGAAAATTCCTGGGGCCACGCTGACTCCAAACTGGAGTCGGTTACAGCGAAACGCTCCCCGGTGGGTGACTATAGTTTGCGCTTCGGCGGTTTCTTCATCGACCGGCAGTTGCTGATAGGCTTGTGCCAGGTCGAGCTTCGCAAAGACCTTGCCCCCCCCCAGCGAGTGTAATAGGTGTTGCACTACTGGGACGGGGTAGGCGCTTTGTTGCAGTGCGCAATTGAGGGTGGCTTTATAGTCCCCGCAGATCCTTACTGACCCATCTGGTTTGACTGGGGTGACTATAGGGGTTTCCCACCGGGCGTGATCGATTGGCTGCAAAACCCCCTGTTTGACGAGCTTGTCAATCTGCTCGTCTATTTTCTTCCGGAGTGCAAAAGGCACCCGCCTGGGTTTTAGGCGTATGGGGGCGATATTTGGGTCTAGGTTGAAAGAGATAGGGGGCCCTTTGTACTTGCCTAGAGTGCCGTCGAATACTTCTTGGAAATCCCTCGCCAGTTGCTGCTCCCAGTCGGCCTCTGTGGTGTGATGTATTCCCGTGACCTCGATCCCGAGCGGCGCGAACCATTGGAGTCCCAAAAGGCTGGGTCGGTTCCGGTCCACGATAGTCAGGGGGAGTTTCGCGGTGCGGTTTTTGAAAGTCACCTCGAACTGTCCGGTCCCAATGACGGGGATGCGGTTCCCTTGATAGTCCTTGATGATCAGCTTCTGGTTCTCCAGTCCTCTTTTCTGGATGTTTGGCACCAGTCGCTTGAGTTCTTTCCAGGCGACCATGGAGAGGTAGGATCCGGAGTCTACCTCCATCCGGCATGGTTCGCCCTCGATGCTCACCTCCACGTAGACCTTCCGTGCATCAGTGGTTTCGGCATGGCCGATGGTGACCGTCTGGTGGGTTTCTTCTCTCTGACGGCCTTCCCCGCTTCGTCGCCCTCGGTTGTCTCGGCTCCAGCGGTTGTCGGCTTGGCGATCTCTGGCCCTCGGTGGGGTGTCGTCTCGTCCCCGGCTGCTTGGTTCTCGCCGGCGGGGGCTGTGTGTCTTTCTGAGCCGGCAGACTCGGGCGATGTGTCCCTTCTTGTTGCACTGCCGGCAGATCGCGTCGATGAAACGGCATTCTGATCGAAAGTGATTTCCCCCGCACCTGGCACACTGGTTCCCCGACTTACGACCTCGTTGATCTCGCCGGTCCCGTCCTGTTTGTAGCCGGTGGACGTCTTCCTCCTCGTCCGTGGTCTCGGAGGCGGAGTCCAGGTCCCCGTGGTGTGTGGTGGTCTCCTGTCGGCTTGCCTCAGGGGTTTCAGTGCGGTCCCCGTTCTCTGCCCTCCGAAGTCTGGCTGCGGACTTCCGGGTGGCTTCGGCCGCGGAAGCTTCGGCCAGGGCGTCCCCGAGGTCGATGTTGCCTTTTGCCATCAGTCGACTTTTTAGTGCCTGATCCCGGAGGCCTAGGACCACGCGGTCTCGGAGGACATCGTCCAGGTCCCGGAACTCGCACATCCCCCCAAGGTCCCGCAAGGCGGCTATGAAGTCGCTGATGCTCTCGTCCTGCCGCTGGTTCCGCCGATAGAACTCATCCCGCCGGATGAGGATGGGTACGGTGGGGGCGTAGTGGTTCCGAAGGAGTGGCTCGAGGTCGGCCCAGTCCATTTCCTTCACATCCTCGGGCTTCGCTAGGGCTTTGGCCATCTTAAACACCGCGGGCCCGCAGTGTGTGAGGAAAACGGCCCTTTTCTTGTGCCCGTTCGCATCCTTCAAATTGCTACTTTCGAGGAACATTAGGAATCTATCCGTGTATGATTCCCAGTCCTCGGTAGCGGGGTTGAAGGGTGCTGGTGGGGTCATGCTGGCCATCTCGTCGGTCTTTGTCTTCCTCGGGACACGTGCTCGGTGGTCAGTCTCTGGATTCCATCCTCGTCGCCAGTGTCGTGTCCGTCGCGGGAAGGAAGCTCAGAGTCAGTGACTTGGTTTCAGCTCTTTATTGGCTCTGGGTACAGCTTAACTTGGAGAGGAAAAACGGCGGCTTTTATTTCCGAGCCGCGTCGGCCGCGGCCAATGGCACCGCTTCGAATCTCCCGCGACTAGTTTCCACCAATCGCGGGGGATTCGCAGCGGGCCAATCAGTGCGGCTCGCTCGACCAATCCGGTCGCCGCGCGCTTTAGCCAATCGCGACGCGGGGCTACGAGTATGTAAATTGACTGTACAGAACAATTGTAGGCTAGACTGAATAGTTGAAAGAAACCTGAATAATTATCTTGACAGGAAATCAATTTCTGTAGTCATCAAGAAATACCACAGGGATGCATCCATGAAGTCAACGCTGTTCAACTGATCAACTCAAATGAGATTTTACCCTTTTTCAAATAAATTTTAAACATTTACTTATTAGGGAAAATACCACGTATAAGGCAGCACACAGGTATAGTATAAAATTCTACTGATAGAAAACAGCAGTAGGTTTTATGGTGATCAATATTTGTCAAGGAGAGCTTTTCATAGCTTAGCGAGGCTCTATGGTGAAAAGGAGTCTAACCTTGAGTGCTTCCATGCCTGCTTGAATCACAGGAGCAAAGACTGTCTCACTCTCATTTGTATCTCCAAACATCTCAGGAATCTGGTCCAGCAAACTAGAGAAAGGAAGAAAAAATTGGTTGTTCAAAAGACTGGACTAGACAGAAGAAACAATCCTTCTGCAGCTCTGGTGCTCAAGTCCCATAATAAAAAAAGTAGCTTGCCTACTATGGGACTTATTTTCAATTAAAATGTTTATGAAAGCTGGGAAATAATAAACATCCATTTTTCCCCCATTATCAGTCTTTTCAACACTAGTGCATGGTGGTTTTTTTTACAAATATAATTAGATATTAATATGATAAAAACGTATAAAATATTTGCTTACTTGTTTATAACAGATTGTGATTCTTGGAAGTTGACAAGGAAGCCATCCAACAAAGGTACAAACACTTCACTGACATCAGTGACTACCATCATTTGAGGTTGTGCAAGAGTACTTTTTACATTGAAGAAGTGAAGGATTTTATTGTAAGTGACAAATCCAACCCGAATTGTTGAAACGTCTTGTTCCTCTCTTGAAGAGAAATAGTTTTAGAAAATATAGTTACAGGAAATGTTTTTACCCCTTTATCTTCATCTTACCCAAACATTTGAATTTTATCTGAACATATTAGAGAAAAGACTTCATCCACACATATGTATAGGACAGATACATATGTGTATAGGACATTTCTGTACAGTTATATGAGGTAGAATCTGGGTCTGAGTTAGAAAGAATAAATCAACTACGGAGAACACTGACGGACTTTTAAAGCAAGCATTGGATTAGACACCCAATGGTGTTTTTTTGTTTTTGTTTTTTAAAGGTAACTATATAAATCATGTATACTTCAGAAGTATTTTTAATTATTTTGTTTTAATTAAAGCTACCTTTAAAAAACCAAGTTAGATTGGATAAGTAGCCTGGTGGACACCAAAGAGATAAACACTGGTACTGCGCTGAGCGTGCTCGTGCCTCACTCCCTTGATCCTTCATTATGGGGATGAAAAGAGCACTATCCTTTTACACTATGAATTCAGCTATGCAAAGATTTGGGCATTGAGATGAATCTCAACGTAACCATGAGTTATATATGAGGATACCTGATGAACCAATAAAGAAACTTTTTATAGATGCTTTGTAGAGTTATGTGTCTGCCTTTATACATTCAGTCAGTAATTAAAGGGCAGAACAGGTACCTCTATGAACTATTCTGGATCGCTGTTATAATAGTCCCAGGCACTTTTTTCTTCAACCCACTTATCTTACTGCCTTCTAAACACTCCTACTGACAAAATAACACTAGAATCTCCTTAATTCAGACTCAAACCTCAGATGGCTTTATTGTGTGTGTGGGAGGGGGGGGCATGCCGCTTTCTTGCTCATAATATAGAGGCTATTTGCTTTTAGACCTGCGCTTTCCTGATGGCTTCCCACCCAAGCTCTATTCAGGTGCAGCCCTGCTTTGCTTTTGGGGTTTGGCAGAGATAAGCTTGATCCTCTTAAGTTGGCTTAAGAAAGAGAGAGAAGGAAAATCCAAACAAATTATAAATATGTGGCAGTTTGGGTCTTCTTCATTACATTAAATATTTTCTTGAAACAGAGGGCAGGGAATTGAAGATGACAACATGATGTGCATCATTATGCATCATTACAGAAATGAAAGCAGAAGATAATTCATTTATTGTTCAATTCATCTTTACCCCTCAGTAGTTTCTAAATTAAGAATATCACTGGTTTTGCTGAATATTTATTATACTTTTTTCTTACTTTGGAAGTCTGTTCAGTACAGTTTTTAGTTCTTCACAAATGAGCTTAACAAGACCACTTTTTATGTTGTTGTATGACACATCAATCATAAAAATATAGGCTGGTGGCTGAGGAGGCTTGTTGTTCTATGAAAAAGAAGGGGAAAAACCAATAGTAGTATGACAAATTAGATTATTTTTCCAAGGTTCTCAAACCAACCATGAAATAGTACAAATACTGTACTACTACTACTACTACTGTACTCCTATTATTACTATTACATACACTATTTATAGCCAATTTAAGACTCAATCTATTCTGATATTAAGATTCATTTCAGTGAAAGTATTGCAACATTATAAAATCTAAGCACAATATATTGGGCTAATTTTCTACTAATAATCTATCTTTTATTTATTATTCTGTTTTCACACTCTTCTTTGTCATGAAATTTATAATTATGCAGCTATTGCATGAAAATATGATCTAACCACATAACATGATGTAGTCATTTCAAACTGTACTGTGACATCATTAAAAGTCAGGCATATCCTTTGACTGCCAAGTGACTAATGCAGAAGAAAAAGGAGTGGGAAATTTTCATCAAGATGATGATGCAAAGTGAAAAGATATAAACACTACGATGTGTAACACGGGGATGCAGAATACGTGCTTACTTATAAAGGGATATAATGTTCACTGTATCCCATTTGCACTTCCCTAATACCACCTTGTTTAAGCTACAAGGCACAAGGGACTGAAGGGTGAAAAATACATTATTTATAATAATATCCTGTTCCTCCTCCTACATGTGGAATGTTCTCATATATTTATTCCCTTTCATATGTTTTATATGTGCATGTACATATGTTTCCTACATTCTGGAGTTGTGAAATATTCTGATGTTCCACAATTTTACTTCACTCTGACAGCAGAATGATCAGGTATTTTATGAACTTAAGGTAGTAATAATATTAATCAATAGTTTAAGCAGGCAAAAATGTGTTTGTCAGATCTTCTCTGAAGAAAATACTCAGCATTAAGACAATTTATGAGAATACTCTTAAGGATATCAGTTATCCACTGCAAGCACTCATAAGTCATCTTTGCTCCAGAAACATAAAAATGATAAAACATTTCCTCTGCTCCAATCTAACACAGACTATCCCTTGAAGCTAAATATAAAGTTAGAAAATACTCCCTTGTTTCCTCTTTCAAATAATGAGCCTGAACTCTTAGCAGGAGTAGAATGCTTTATGAAAACTACTTCCTGTGCTATAAGTAACTCATAAAGCTCCTCTTTACATTCATAGGTTAATTGCTGAAAACCAACAACAAGGCAATTAGGAATGCAACTCCAAGAAATTGCAACAAAAGTCATTATGTTAACAATAACGACTGTTTCTTCTCCTTTCAGTTGTAGAGAAAATGATGTCGCTCAGAGAAATAAGAGAACTACAGAAATGTATAAAGTCTGAGTTTTTAAAAGCTTTTCTAATCAATCCCCAAATACTACCATAAAACACCTATCTGTGTATTAAATTCTACCTAGATATTTATCATCATGGCTAATATTTCTACATATTTATCATCAATAAACAGAATAGAAAGTTCTCTTTTCCTGAGATATTGAGGTGGACGATTCAAACATCTTCCGGCAAATTATAAATGCTCTACACTAGTTGAGAAAGTTTCAGCATGAAATACCAGTTATAAAAGAAGCATGGACAGTTGGTCATTTAGCTTAATTATGAACATTTTACAAACGAGACAGAAAAAAACAATCAAATCAAATCAACCTTTATTGTGAGAGTCCCTAACCCAGTGACTCTTACTAACAAACACATTATCTTATTGCTAATCCTACAACACTTTATCCACGAGATTATCCAGAAATTCATGCAAGGTCAAGAACAACACATAGGATGTAAAATTATAGCCGAAGAGAATTTTGAGGTCATCTGATCCACTCATTGCTCAGTGGAGGATTCATTGCAGTATCTCTAAGAGAAAACTACCAGACTTTATTTGAAGACTTCTAGCAAATGATAACATTCCATTTCATGTGACCACCTGTTCCACAGACTGACACTTCTATATTTTGGAATTTCCTGTTGATGTATGGTACTTCATTGTACCTTTAACCCATTGATTCAGGTCCCGATCTTGGTCCAGTTTCAGCTATCTGGTGCAATAGAGAACATGCTTATTCTCTCTTTCATGTGATGGGGATTTGAAAATTGCTATTGTATCTCTCCTCAGTTGTCTTTTATAGGTTAAACATATCCAGATCCTTTAACTGTTCCTAATAGGCTGGGCTGGTTTTAGGCTAAGGCTAAGGCTGGGTAGGCACTGGCTCAGGATTATAAAATTTAGGGGGTGGGCAATGCCACTCCTTCTTCCAAATCACTCTAAAAATCCAAATCTCCACATCAGTGGGAAGTGACACCATCAAACAATATAGCTATTGCCCTATACTTTTGAACTGACATTGTTTAATGGCTTTTCCCCCCATGACTCTTCACTATCTTAGTAGCCCTACTCTATACCAAGGATGTCAAACTCACGTTGTCACGGCAGCATCACGTGACATATTGGGACTTTCCCCTCCTTCGCTAAACCAGGCATGGGCATGGCCATCGCGTGACGCATCCAGTCCATGGGCCGGGAGTTTTGACAACCCTGCTCTATACTTTCGCCAACTGGTCACAGTCCTGTTTGAACTGAGGTGCCGAGAACTGAAAACTGAGCAGAGCAAAACAATCATTTACATTGTTCTTAACTGTATGGTCCTGTTTAAGGAACCCAACACAGGATTTAGCTCTTAGCAGCCATATCACACAGGTGGTTCATACTAACTTTTTGACTCATGTGGTCAAAAAGGAGAACCAGACAGATGTGCTTTGAAACGTTAAAGATTCCAAGTGAAATCAGTGGGGGAACTCAGCTTACCAGGTTATCAGGTTGCAATTTTATGAGACTTAGTGTATTCTGTGAAGTGAGACAATTTATAATAGCGTTCTGTGCAAATACAAAAAAAAAAAAAAAAAAAAACCAAAATAACAAATTTGGCAATCATATTAAGCATGTAACCTGAGCAGATGAATTATACAATTCAATTGGATTATATTTCATATTGCTCTAGGTGTACATTTTAATTTTAAATAGATAGGGCTGCACTCTTTCTATAGATACAATATGTAAATCTCTGATTTAGCACATATTGCAATTTTTTCCATGCTGATCAGACTTACCTTGCAATAATCTAAAGTAGCAACATACTCATATGATCCAAGTGATAGCTCTGGTCTTTCATAATGGTCTATTCTTCTACCAATGTGATCCAGATGTTGAAAATAAAATGGAGGAACTAAAAAAAGAGAAGGGATTACTTTTTCCTTTTGTTCAACAGAAATAACCACATAAAATCTCAGGGTATTGTTCTGAAAGTGATAGTACCTGATATGCAATAGATTTTACATGAAAGGAACAGTGATGCAAGGAACTCTTTGTATTGATTTTGCTTTACAATTGTTGGCAACGATGAAACCACTTGTAATATAAGTTCACATTTACAACCAAATATATCCACCTTAAAGAGATTTCTTTTACTTGTTTCATCCCTATTCTTTCTGTCAATCTAATCACACATCTTTCAGTTTTAGGATTTAAGAGAGTTTTTTATATGCTGCTTGTCCAGTGAGGTGTCTTACTGGTTACTCTAGTATTTGCATGTTACGCAATTGCAATATCCATTGCACAGCTTTCAACATGGTAAGTGCATTTCCTTTAGACCAGGGCTGTCAAACTCTCAGCCCATGGGCCGGATGCATCACATGCTGGCCACGCCCCTGCCGGGTTTAGCAAAGGGGGAAAAATCCAGATACATCACATGATGATGTGAGTTTGACACCTCTGCTTTAGAGTATGCTAAAATGCAAAGGGAGGGAAGAAGAAAAGAACTGGGGTGGGCTTGGATTGCCTCTAAAAGTATTCGGAAAAGGCTGATCCTGCACCTCAAAAGAAACCAAGAGATTTTTGTTCTCTGTGGCAAAAGCAAAGAGGGGCTGCCTCTACATTTTTTCTTATCTGGTGCAATTAGATTTAAGGATTTGAAAAGAAAAAGGGCTTTCCTTAGATCTGTCCTTGAGGAAAAGCAGCTTGCTGGCAGTAGACAGCAATTGAAAAAAAAAATCAGCACACCAGACAAATGCAAAAAATATACTAGAACAATATATCTTACACTGAACTATTTCATGTGTGTAAATAACAAAGATAAATAATGGCTGTGAAATGCAGCAGCTCTCAGATCTCAAACAACTATTCATTGTAGAAACATCTGACCTCTTCCAACATTCATACAATACTCATTAGTAGCCTTTCTGTTATGAACCCAGCAAATATTTTGCACATGCAAAGTTTCAGTTTTAAAACCTTACTTGAGAGTATAAATGTATCACCTATATCTCACTCCTTAGCTGCTGCATAGGAGGCTACTGTGAACCTGTGAACTAAAATTACTATTATTTTACTATGGCCATCATTTTCTCCACAAGACTGGACATTGCCCTCATGCTTATGATGAAAATCAGAGTGCAAAAAAAAAAAATCACACAAAAGTAATATTGCAGGCATGCAAACAACTCTGTTTATAAATGGCAATATCAGTCTAAATGTTTGATAGCTCACTGTTATATACATTTGTGAGAACTTTCTGCTGAATAAACAGTCCCAGCAGCCAACTGCCTTCTCTTTCTTTCCACAGATTAAGCTTTGAGGCAAATAAGAGTTGGCATAAGTTCATGTTTAAGGTTCATGTTTCACAGTTGAAAAGATTACTGTATTAGGGAAAGCTCTGTGGCACTTTGATCCAGCTGAGGAAATCCAACTAGATGCAAGCATCTTGAAAAAGGCATTCTGGCAAAGCCTTGGGACTCACCCAGAAGTCCAGGAACTTGTATTTATGAGTCACATGCAGTTGTACTTGGACAAATATGGCATGGCATCTACTGTTCAAAGCAACTTTAAGCCTAGTAAAATTAATGGATGTTTTAACCATGGTAGTCCTCTGATATAAAGTGAGGCAAAGTCCTTAATATTTATTCTTTGCTAAGTGGTTCAAAAATGTATTTAAATCTATATAGAAAACAGTTTGATTTAATTATTATATCTTTCCTTCCTTGCCTATTTTACACAGAGTATAAAATTCACAGCTATTATTTACAAAAGTGGTCTTATAGAAAAATTCAAGTACTTTTCTAAAGAAAGATTAACTGTTCTTGCTGTTAATCTTTGCTGAGCATACCCAGTACATGTATCTACATATATATCTTAGGGAAAGTCTTTCTACAAAGGTTTCTAGCTTAGCTTTGGTTGTTATACCTTATAGAAAACAGATAAGCTGTTTTGTCTTTTCAATATGAAATATTTCCAGATAATTCCTAGAGCAAAAATTGAACGACTTCATTGTACATTTTCAATTGCCAGGATAATACAAGGCTTTGAGAAGTCTGCTTTCAATGAGGCAATGCATGAAGGAGCATGCTGGAATCTTTTCAATTGACAAATTCAAAATTCCAGTTCATATGAAGTAAAATGGTTAAGCAAAATACTAATTTGTCCTGGCAGGATGCAGACTCTTACTTCAATATTGCAATTTTATACCTACATGTCTTGTGATAATACACAAGAATACACATTTGAAAAATGACTGTAATGTATATTTTAATATTGGAACAGAAATAAAAAAGATGCTGAGAAGACAGAATAGGGCAGAGACTGAAGAAAGTTCAGCAGAGTTTTCCAATGGCCCTTGAGTAGAAGATTAGCATGAACATCTAATCTTCATTTCCTTTGGTCTTTTTAAATTGATCATTCCTTCATTCTCTGAAACCACAGGGTTGGAAAGGGCCTATTATGTCATCATGTCCAGCCCTGTAGTCAGTTCATGAATCCAAATTAAGAATCCCTGAAATATATTGTCTAGCTTATATTTGAATATATATATATAGTATTTGAATAAATGCAAATCAATTCTTTAGTCAGGGGTGCTCCATTTAACAACTATTGCAAAACTCAGAAATAGTCATAATTTTCAAGCAATAGCTTTATTCAAAAGACAAGAGCTGCATCAAAACACATTTAACCTTCTTTGCTCTTCAGCACTGTCTCTGGAAACAACTGAGATGCACACATTCTTTTTACACTAGATGAGATTTCCACATAAGTGACACATTTTTTAAGAAACAGTATTTCTATTTGGAATAATGTGAAAGATTATGTGTGTTTTTTTAAATTAACTTAACTATTTTAAAATTTATTTGGAGAATGAGTTTTCTATCATTTCAAAAACAACAACCAGAAAACCAACGCAACTTACCATCATTCACACAGTTACAAAATCCACACTGATATTTTCTTCCTCCCTCAATGAACTGCATGAAAGGACACATGTAAGCTTTACATCGATTGCATCGAATTGGTCCATTTTCCCCAAGGTTTACCAAATAAAGTGGTGTCTGCAGAGATTTTGAAAAAAATGGTGATGTAACTTGAATAGGTCAGTGCCCTGACTATAGATAGTTACACCTGAAGGGTCACTGGTTTCATATGGTTATGAGGGAGCATTTAAATTACCAGTTTTCTCAATGAATTTGAATCCTGTGGGCTTTCTTCCACGTAGTATTTTTTAATGTTTTACTGTACTGTTCTTGTTGATTGAATCAACATGAGCTATCACTGCATGCATCAATACTTCACAATGTAAAAGTATCTCTAAAAAAATTACATTATCCTTAACTAACACAAAGTAGTTCACTAATCATATATCACTCAAGCTTTTCTTATGGGAGAGTTCAGTACAAATCTTTCCCACTAAAATGAATGGGATTTGAAAGTACTTAATTTTGGGCTAAATCTCTCCATTGTAAACAAAAATTAGAGCACCTAATTGTATATAATTGCATAGTATAACATAGTGACAATATTTATTCGGAAATAATTATCATACCGGTAATAATGACAAGGTTTCTACTAAGAATGTGCAATGTACTTATGAATATATAAATACAATAGCCATAGCACTTAGACTTATATAACACTTCATAGTGCTTTACAGCACTTTCTGAGAAGTTTACAAATGTCAGCATATTTTCCCCATAAATATGGGTCCTCATTTTACCAACCTCAGAAGGATGGAAAGTTTAATCAACCTTGAACCAGTCAGGATTGAGCTCCTGACAGTGGACAGAGTTAGCCTGCAACACTGCATTATAACCACTGTCACAATGGCTCTGAAACTTTTTGTCAATATGAACTTCAGCACATTAGATGCACAAAAAAACAGTAAAAATCTTATTTCAATAGATTAATTTTAGTCAGCCAATTTGTGGATCATTAAAATTCTTTTTCCCCTTCATTTACATTGTTAATCACTAGACATCCAGTGCATTTCTATATGACAGGATGTGTCTCTCTCACATACTAGTGTAAAGATAAGGGCATCAATTTAGGTGACCACAATAGATAGCAACTATAAGTTATTATCTCAAAGCAAGAGATATAAAGTTAATTTTTAAATTTTGAACATTTTCCACTTCAAAATCTACAGGATTTAACAAGAAATAAACATACATAATTTCATCTAGTGAAACTCACAGGGTAAGGAATAAAGTCTTCTAAACTCAGCAAGAATTATTTTGAATAAAAATACATGAAACTGGACTGTTTGAGCTGGATTGTGTCCAATATGCTAGTAGTTTGGTTACAGCATTTAAATGGTGTTGTCATTAACGCAATTATTTATTTGCTTTGATTTATGAACATTATATTATTTAATCTACCACTTCTTTCAGTGAAATTGTTTTGCATTGAAACATGGCTATGTTAAGAAAAATAATTTGTGAGCAATTTATCGTCCATGAATTATTTCTTCAAATCAGCAAGTTCAAAAGAAATGCTCAAAAAAGTCATTGGTTGAGGTTAACAGGCTGCAGATATATTAATCTGCTTGCTTGTATCTAATATGTCACTAGAGACATACTGAATGAAATCAAAACAAAATAGATTTTTCTAATGATTTCTTATTAGAAGTAGAAAGGTTATCTTTGTACTTATTCTGATGTCCATAAAAAACTCAAGTTAGCAACATATCATTTTGACTTCACACTGAATGTTTTTAAGAATTGTCTTGCTTTTTTAATTGTCAGTTAAATACAAATTAAATACAGTTGTTGCAAACAAATATTACAACTGAAATATAATTAAAACTAATACTTTGGAGGGGGGAAAAACCTCTTACACTACTACAGGAGTATCAAACTGGATTTCTTTGAGGGCCAGCTCAACATTGTAGTTCTCAGTGGGCCAACAGCAGGAGGGTGGGGGTTGGCAGGGGGAACCCTGCCAGGCAAAACGGGGCCCAAGGTTCTGCACGTAGCCCCTCTGCACCTCATTTTCACCCTCCATGGCCTCCTGCAGCACTCTGCTGGCCCAAAATGAGCCACGTGGCCCATTTTGGGCTCATTTTTCAGCTGTTTTCAGACCATTTTCAGACCATTTTGGGCCCATTTTTCAGCCTGCTGAAAAGTGCTGCAGGAAACCATGGAGGGTGAATATGAGATGCGGCCCCCATACGTGGCCCATTTTAGCCACCAGAGGCACCATGGGCTGGTCCCTTGATATTTCTAGGCCAGCCCCATGGGCCAGATTTAAGCACCCCATGGGCCTTAAGTTTGATACCCCCGCATCAACTATTTTATTTGGTTTATATGTATGAATTGATTAAAATGCCAAAATCTGCAGAAATCATCTATTTATCAAAAAAAAAATTTTTTTCAAAGGAAATGCATGTTGTTGCACACTGCTTTCTCTGGTATTCTCCTATTCGTATCAAATCCACATTCTTCAAAAAAAAACTACTATAGTTGTTAGAGAAAATTCTTATTGCCTGAAATGTCATTCCTTTCTCATTTTTTCCCCAATGCCTCTATAATTTTAAATTAGCACTGTTTACTATAATTTTTCCAACAATTTCACTTATTTATATTTATGGCCATTCATTTTCTAAACACGCTTATTAATTCATTTCAAAGTGAAAACAACAGAAATCTTGGTATTTTAATACCCGATTTAACATTAAATTATACGCAGTAATTTTATTATTTTTAAATGCAATATTTTATTCCATTCATCTAAAATAAAACTAAGAAGTTCATTCAAGTATGATTTCATCTATAATTGCCTACAATAAGAAAAGACAATGAGTCAGCTGAGCAAAACCTTCTTTGTGCTGTGTGCTATCTGTAGAGGTCACTGTGCCCAAAGAGATACAATACTCATAATAAGCAACAGATTTGTCCTGACTCCAGTACCAGAACAATTACTGTAAATGCTAAAATCCAATGACTGACTCCAGTATCAGAACAATTTCTGTAAATGCTAAAATCCAATGAGATTGAGAAAGACCAAACAAATGTTATTCATTTGCCTCACAATAAAATAATGTGCTAAGGTTAATAACTGAAAAACATGTTCAGTATGAACATTCAGTATAATTCAAATTTTTTCCTAATGAAGACCAAAACTACTATCAAAGCAACTGGCAATGAAATGCTATGATATATAATGTTGCTATGCCAGATTTTCCAATGGCCATGTTATGATTTCTCTAGACTTTTGTTTGTGAGAAAGTGTGGGTGATGTTAGTGTTTTACAAAGTTATTTAATGTATCATTTAAAACATTGACACATTAATTAGAATAATCTAGTGGAAGCATTTTGTAAACTCTGGGGCAAAAAAGCAGCATTTGACTCTTGGCAGAGCAAGAACTAAGCTGATTTTAGATGCATTATTTATCAAATACTCTTCTGATAGAGTTATGTTAACAGATTATTGGAATTTAAGATCTATTCTCTACTGTGGTTTTGCAGCAATTGAATAAACAGAATATATATTCTATTAATGTGATATTTATTAAGAAAATCAAATGAGATTTGTGAAAATTGTATCCGGAATCAGGTACTGTATGTAGCACAATATAATACATGTGTGTGTTATATACAATATATATGATATGTATGGTATATATTTATGTGTGTATCTGTATCTGTGTATGCATTAAGACCAATGATAATGTTATATACTGTTAAATAATTTTTTCCTATGAATAGTATAAGTTCGTTCTCTGCATTTGTATCATTCAACAAGTAACAAGGTGGAAACCAGGGCAGTCAACACATTTGTAGTTGTCAAGGATATTTACTGAAATATCATAAAATATTTACTGACATATCATATTTACTGACATATCATAAAATCAGAAAGGTATAAAAAAAAACCAGGTTCTCCTAAAGCCACACAACAAAGCCAAATCAATCAAGACATTAGCTATTAACTAAAATGAAACTGTTATACATTCCATTACCAGTTAACCAGGGGTGGAATTCAAATTTTTAAACAACTGGTTCTGTGGGCGTGGCTTAGTTGGTGGGCATGGCTTGGTGGTCATGTGACTGGGTGGACGTGTCTTGGTGGTCATGTTATTGGCTGGGCATAGCCAACTCAATATCACTCACATCATGGCACATATCTCCTAGCCTGGCCTCTCATGACTGTGGAGATGCTGCAACAGTCGTAAGTGTGAAAAATGGTCATAAGTCACTTTTTTCAGTGCCATTGTAACTTTGAATGGTCACTCCACACAAGCAAAGTACCAGCAAAGGAAGAAAAAAAAACTCCAGAGAAGTTCCTGAGACAGGAAGTCTAGTCCTGTCAAGAATGTAATTAGGGTTAACGGAGAGGCAGTTTCTGTAAGCAACACCAGAACACCTCGAATGATTCTTGATGAATGTATTTTTTTCTTTTTCTTTTTATGAACACAGAACATTTGCACTAAAACAAATTCCTTGTGTGCCCAATCACACTTGGCCAATAAAGAATTCTTAGATAGATAGATAGATAGATAGATAGATAGATAGATAGATGATAAAGGTGCCATTATTTTTAAAGATTTTTACAGTAAAATATTCAAATTCAGATTCTGAATTCAGCAAGTAATTACTTAAGTAATTAAGTAGTTACTTAAGTAGTTACTTAAGTAATTAATGGATGTTTTATCTTGTAACAAAGCAAGGAGTGTGCTTGGTTCTAGTCAATAGCAATATTACATCACAAGGTTGGTCTTTATTGGTAGATCGCTAATGCGCAGTTTATTGCATGACCAAGAATTATATTGGCATTGGCAATTTAATTACCAAAATTTGTGGCATAAAACAGATAAAACTAAAGCATAACCACAACTAACCTTAATCTAAATTTAAAAATAAAAGCCCAGCCCTGCCCCTGCATGGGTTATCTGGCCTCGGAAATTCTGAAAGACTACATTGCCCACTATAATCTTTTCTAGATCTCCTCTATCAAATCATGACTTGTGGCCAAAGAATTCTACAAATTGCCTGCAGCACATTTATGCAAGTTCAGGTGTCACCTTGTAGGGGAGATGGGCAGCACAGACATTTA